GTGTGTGTGTGTGTGTGTGTGTGTGTGTGTGAGAGAGAGAGAGAGAGAGAGAGAGAGAGAGAGAGAACTCGTGATCTGTTCAATTGTGTCAACTGTTTCAACAAGAGTTACGTGTGCATATCGTTCAGCCAACTGCCAAGCACAGGATGTCTTGGAGTCTCCTACCACTACATCCCTTTAACAGCAAGGAAAAGCAAATTAGAGGAAGTAGACGTGTAACGCTCGTGGGTACTGCATACGACAGTGCATAGTATCATCAGTGTTCCACATTTCAAATTATTCAGAAGTGTGCAGACGGGCGTGTCTCTGAAGATGTGTGTGTGTGTGAGAGAGAGAGAGAGGGGCCTTAAACTCGCTTTCCTTCTCCTTTCCAGAAAGGGGTTTAGCCCTTAGCATAATTATATCCACGAGGCAGGGTGTTCCATGACACCTTGCACTTTTTTTCTTTTTGGGCGGACCTTTTTTTTTGTTGTTGTTGCACCGCATCAGGTGCAATGCGCGGTGCGGTGCGCGAGGTGCGCCAAACGTGCGCTGAGGTGCGCACCTCGATGCACCGCAACTATGCTCAGGACTCAACTACGGCCACATATCACACACAAAATGCAAAGGCTTCACAATATTGCAGAAAGCTTCCACAGCTTTCTGGGTAACAACAAATTATTGGCCCTACAGAAAAAGAAATCTCAGCCATTCGAGGATGGCAACCCGAGGCAGGTGAGGACAAATCAACACTACAAAATCTGGGCCTGCCGCAGCTCATTCATTCTTTCTTCTGGGAGCCTGGAGCCCTGCTGAGCTTTAGCACTGGAGGAACGCATTCTGGAGAGAGACAGTGAGAATGAGAGATGGCCATATGAGAGAGAGAGAGAGAGATCAGATAAGAGTCCAAGGTTTCAGGGAAGAAGAAGCTTACCTGAAGCCTGGAGAGAGTTCAGCCATACATTCTGTAAGGAAGGATCCCAGCAGTTGCATGTGCTCATCATTCTTCATCCAAGACTTAAACCGCGAGTACACAGCCACAGCCTTGAAGAAAAGAAACTCGTCACCTACTCCGCAAAGTTGAGGGTCCGAGCGTCGTTGATAAATTTCATCAATAGCCGGCGTCGTGCTTTTTATGGCCGTGTACTGGAGGTTTAAGAGGTGACGGCACAGACTGGTATAAATATGGCGCCGTACAGGAGGGTCTATCGTGGAGATGAGAAGGACGAGGTAACCATTGAATCAGATTTGGCAAGAAGGAAGAGGAATCTTACCTATTGGTTGGCAGCTATGGCTACCTGAAACAGGAAACTTTATGCTGCTTCAGAAGACAGCCGTTGCATTTCAAGTTCCAGCATTTTTGCATGGGCCTTGGATAGGCCAGCGCTAGAGATAGAGAGACTTGGCGGCTGACATTGTGTCTAGTTTGGTGGTGAAGGAGTGGGGAGGTCGCGGGAGAGGGATCTTCAAGTGGGAAAAGGGGGAGCAACTTGAACATTGTACTGATTGTTTGTGTTTTTTAAAAGGATATCTTAATTCCCTTGCTCTTCTTCTTCACACAGTCTTGTCATTCACTGCTATCTCAATTTTGTGGTTATCATCGAGTTGAGAGAACTTGAGACTCATTAGTTCACGTGAGATTTGATTGAGAGCTTCTGCAGTTGGAATCATCACATCTTTATCATATTTGAGACTAGGCCTCACTCCACTACACAACTTCTACATGCATTTGGATGCTTTTGGGACCGAGTACGTTCAAAACGTTGGAATTGTCCGAATGCACCTGGTCCTGAAAACCTCCCAATGCATGGAGAGTGATGTGTATTGGGGCAAGGCCGACTGTTGGCCATTGATTTCTTAAAACTTTATGGTGGTTCATAACAGTCTGATAGGTTGCATGTATGTAATTAAGATGGAGAACTGAGCACATCACAATGCGGGACAAGTCAACAACTCAGTGCGCAGTTGTAACCAGCAGCAGCATTCAGCAGAGACACATACCTTGTACATTGATGGGGGAACAAGAGTTTCATATGGTTCATTCAGAGTTATAACACCGTGCACGCCCAGTTCCTTTAGCTTCAGGACATCTCCAGGGAAAGGTACCGCTCCAAGAACAAGGTACTGCATCCAGTCATTGAAAACCAAATTCAGAAACACAAATGACTGCAAACGCCAAATCAGAAACACATAATGACTGGGAATGCCAAATCAGAAACACATAATGACGGCCTTCCGGACATCCGTTTAAATTGGAACGATACAGAGAAGATTAGCACAGCACCTGCACAAGGATGACACGCATAAATCGAGACATGGTCCCAAAAAAGAAAAAAGAAACACATAATGACTGGAAAGTTGTGGAAACGCCAAATCAGAAATGCATAATGACCGGAAACGTCAAATCAGAAACACATAATGATTCGAAACGCCAAATCAGAAGCACATACAAAGGCAATCTTGCTACTAACATGGCACGGACACAATGGTTGGACAGGGAGAAAATAGAAAGAAGCTAAGCTTGCTTTCCCTCCCACATAGCTACCACCACAGGGCTCATCCACAGAACTTGGCAGCATCTATGCTTGGTGGCAGGCATGCCCTATAGACAAGCACACACATCTGGGTGTCTTCCACGGTCTGGTAGAATGGCCATTTGCTGAATGATGAGCTTCAAAACATGCCCGGGGTAGCATCTCCCCTCACTATCTTCCTCCAAATAGAAAACACGGAGGAGATTAAAAGACTATTTGACCGATTTGTAATGAACCCAGTCTGGCAGATACTCAGAAGTTGTCAAACATCAGTAGTATCATTATCTGCATCAAAGTCTTCAATTTGTAAAGTGAAATCTCAAACAGTATCTCATTACCATCAAAGAAGAAAGTGGAGGGGGAACAGACATAGGAGAAGATGATAGATCACACAGAATCCCTTCTGATCCCACTCCTTCTCCGGGCTTCCTTCCCTCACCACATCAACAATGATAATAAGTATATTCCTGATCACACACAATAGTGCCACGTGGCACTTAATCTCGCGAAGATCGTGAAGACACAGCAGATTCCAGTGACGACGTCAACCTCAGGTGAGTACCCAACCTCTGTTACGGACTCCACCAGGGCTCGATCCCTGGTCTATCTTCTGCTGTTTCRGCTGCATCCCGTTTTCGGCCTGGCACCCTTTTTCCAAACCCCTCCTTTGGTACCGTAGGATTTTGGACAACTGGCGCCATGCTGCAATTCGGGCGCCACTTTCAAATACTGCATTTTTCAGTTCTGCCCTCGGGGCCTTTGCAGAAATGCCCCTAGTACCGTACGTGTCACCGGTACTTATACCGGCTCCCCGTACGGTACGGGGCCCCGGTCTCGTACCAGTTCCCTGCTGCTGTACTCGTACTCAGTGTGACTTGTTGTTTCGGCATTCGGAATCCAAGACTTCGACTTCGTGCCTTGCCACTGTGTCTGCGTCCGATCCTCAGTCCGAGTCAGTCGTGTCGAGTGAGTGAGTGTGTGTGTGTGCTCTCACTCTCTCCCTCTCTCTCCTCTCCCTCGGCTCACCCTCAGCCTCACGCCCGTTACAACCTCCCTCATCCACAGATCCCAATCTTCCTCCTCCACGCAATTAGACACTTCATGTAGACAGCGGGGCCAATGCCACGTCAGCAGTCGAGATAGGTGGCATATGCCACATCATCAATGTAGACCAGAGGCAGCGCCACATCAGCATGCAATGTAGTCCAGAGATAGCGCCACATCAGCATGCAACGTAGACCAGAGGTAGCGCCACAT